GTTGTTCGTGGTGCGTCGATCGATCGATCAGTGACACCCGTTCCAGCTACCACGCACACATTCGTTGTTCGTCGATCGATCGATCACCCGTTCGTTGTTCATCGGTCACATTCTTGTAGAGTGATTGCGTCGTTGTTCTTCGTTCGTTGTTCGTTGTTCGTTGTTCGTTGTTCGTTGACCGTTCGTTGATCGCACTGGGCCCGTTATTAAAAAAAAAAAAAAAAAAAAAAAAGACACCTTCACCTGCTTTGCTGTACTGGGAGGCTGATGTTCGTCGTGCGATGTCCCCATGCACATACGTATTCGGCCAAACCGAAGCAGATCCAATAGCCGCTTAATGGATCAAGGCCCTTGTTGTTAACACCCTGTTGCAGCATTGTTAGTTGCACAAGTAGACTGCCAGCAGGGGACTATGTGCGACAGCCGCCGTAAATGCTGAGGATCGACGACCAGTATCTCTCTATCCGTGCCAGTGGGTGGGACCTGTCTCTTATACACATCTAGATGTGTATAAGAGACAGGCACAGAACGACCCCGGTTTCAAAACCAAAACCAAAATTTTAGGCATCTTTTTGTCCTGCCCGGTTTACCTGGGCGCCCCCCCCGGGCCCAGCCCGACAGGGCAGGCCCGACCCGGCGGTGTCCTCACTCAGGTTCAGTTTAATGTTCTGGAGCGAGGTCCCACTAGCAGGAGGATAAAGTTGTGGCCGATCCAGTGTGACGGTGTGTGGCCTTGGAGCGACCTGTGTGGGGCGAACATTTTGGGGGAATTGTTCTCCGAAAATGGATAAAATATCATCTCGAAAAAGAAAAAAAAAAATGTAGAATATTTTATAATTTTGATGCCCCTGTCATGGGCAGTTGGTGTTTCACTTGAGATCGCCGGGCTTAGTGGCATCTGCGGCGGGTCCTGCTGAAAGCGGTTAGTTGTCAGACCGTGTTCCCCTCCCGCCCTGTGTCGATAGTCCCGACTTCTAATGTATCTGCGTGTGAAAGCCGACGTAGGGCCTCGGTGCTCTCAGACCCAAACACAAAGGACAGAAACGATGGCAATGTATCTTTCCATGTTCTGGCAGTGTGTTCAGTCTTGTTTTGCAGATTTGGAGAGCGGTGCAGCGAGGCCCATGGATACTACCTTCGCTGCACTACTCTCCAACTGTCGTAGGGCCTCGCTGCACTACTCTCCAAATGTGCAAAATGAGACTGAATCTACCGCTAGAACATGGAAACATACATTGCCACCTTTTTTTGTCTTTTGTGCATGTGGAGAGTAGTGCAGCGNAAATGTGCAAAATGAGACTGAATCTACCGCTAGAACATGGAAACATACATTGCCACCTTTTTTTGTCTTTTGTGCATGTGGAGAGTAGTGCAGCGAGGCCCATACTTTGGCCACGCTCACACTAGGACTTTTTAACTTATTTCGGGTCGGAATTGCGACCACATGCATCCACGTGCGGCCGTAAATGCGGTCAGTTACATTCAAGAGAGTGCTAGTGTGAGTACGCCCTTAGAACCGGGAGAAATGCAGTGCAGCGACACGTGCTCTTACCATCCTGTGCAAAGTGAGACTGAGAATCCACCACTGGAACATGGACAGCTACATTGCCGTCTTGTTTGTCTTTTCCGCATGTGGAGAGTAGTGCATAGACACAGCAGGTCCCTGCCCGACCATTGCTGAAGGCGAGGTCTTGGGCTCGTCATGAAGAAGACCGACTCATAGATCTATCCGAATAGATCTATCCGAAACGAGACGGTGAGTGTGCAGCGGCCCTTCGCTGGTAGTTGAAGCGCTCTCCCGCACTCTCATTCTTTCACGTGACGCGCGGTGACGGGGAGTGCGGCGGGCGCTTTCTCCCATTCTGGGTGCGTTTGAGATCTGCGGGGTGACGGGGAGTGCTGCAGCCTTTTCCGTTTCGGGCTATCAGTGGGACGCGGTGTGTCTATTCGCGGGCTCAGCGGGCTGCTTTCGAAACGCTCGAGTGTACCATGGATCTGTATGGAGAAGGAGGGCCGTTCCGTGCAGCTGACTGAATCTGCCATCCGTCTTTGTTCGGATGATGGAAGTGCGGAGTTAGAAGCCTTTCGGGAGAGCTTGCGCAGGCAGGCCATGCAGCGGGACTCTCAGGGGGCCGTCGCAGTGCCTGAGGGACATCAATCTTCCACGGATTCCGAGGAACCGTCAACTGGTAACGCGTCGGCCGAAGGTCCTCAGCCTCCGCATCCTGTCGTGATGGTGGACTCGACGACTCAGCAGAGCGCCGGCAGTCCACACCACACTCCTTCCATTTTCGGCTTGGATGCTGGCCATGACTTTGCCGAGCATCCGCCAGCGAACCGTTATCCAGCACACCTTGTTACTGCATTCGGTGGCCATGCACAACTACATGGACACTCCAGCTCGACAACTGATAACAGCGGAGTCAGTGAGGAAGTGCATTTGTGTGGGAGTCCTACGATGTTGGTGAACGGCAACGGGAGCAGTTCGTGCGAAGAAGATGACTGTGCCTATGTTGGAGAGGCAAATGCAGCGTACACATTTTCAGAAGAGTTCAACACGGACATCGAAGAGAATGGAAGTGGACAAGGGAGTGACAGCACGGGGGGGTCGGCGCAGGACATAAATGCAGCCACAAGCATTGACGTGATAGTTCGTGCGGGTGGTGACGCACATGGTGGTGGTGACGACGGCGGTGACGACAGCGGTGACGAAGGCAGTGATGAAGGTGCTGCGTCAGGCGGTGAGGGCGGTGGCAATGGTAGTGTTGGCGGGGGAGGAGACTCTGGTGATTCACCGGGCTTGTCACCGGGAGAAAAGACAAGAACAGGAAAGAGGAAGAGGAATTGTTGGAGCGATGATGAGACCGTTGCCCTCATTCGCGCTCATGGTGACCTTCTCTGTGGCAAGGATTTGACATCAGAAAACATGGGAAACGCATTGAGCGGGAAGAAGAAATGGCAAGCTGTGGCGGCTATCCTTGCAAGCAAGGGATTCACAAGAGAGTGGAATGACTGTCAAACCAGACATAAGAACCTGGCAGGCTGGCACCGAAGGATCGGAGACAACGATCGGAGGAGTGGACAACAGAGCTACTGGCGAATGACGCCAACAGAACGGTGCGCAGAGAACCTCGGTTTCTACATGCGCAGGGCTTGGTTCGACTTGTTTAATGTGTACAACGCGAACAACCCGGCCATCCACGCTGAACACGTTCACGACCCGGGCACTGAACAGGAGAATGCTGCAAGCGCTTCTCCTCCGCCTGCTTCTCAGGAATCTACTCCTGGTGTGACCACAGCTGCGGCTGATCAACTGCCGGACTACACTCCTGCATCGTCCAAGAAGAGGCGTGGTTCTCTCAACGCGCGAGAGAAGTCAATGAAGGGCGTGGCAGCCATGATGGGTGAACACACTGCAACCATCACACGACAGGGGGAGAAGAAGTGCCGCCTGTCTTCTGAGTGCACTGACAAGACGGTCGCAGCTATGGACAGGCAGACAAAAGTGGCGAGGGAGGAGATCAAGGCACGCATCAATTGCGTGGAAAAACAGATTGAGTCCATGGAGAGAGGGTGGGCCTTGATTGCTGACGCGATCAAGGCGCTCGCTGCCGCAAGGGCACCCGAGGGCCGAGGAAGAGCATCATGATGCGCATGACGTGTATCATCTGTCGACAACTGATTTCTGCACACGCCACAGTTGTCATTTCGAGTAGTATTACCTTGATTAGTCAGTTTCTTAGTACTTGTGGACGTGCATTTTGAGTAGTCTTCCGCTGTCCACTTGCGGGCAGCAGCAATTGTCTACGTGCATTTTTTGTAGTATTCCGCTGCTTCCGTGGAGCTCGTTCGTGTGACTAGTTTGACGTATTCTATACATGCCAAGTAGTTTGTACTCTCGGTAGTTGCGAGAGTGCATGACGTTTCAGATTGTGGACAGTACCTTTTCTTTTTGAGTATGTGCGATAACGAGCGCAAGCTCCTTTTATTTTTCAAGCTGCTCGGAACCGCATTAAATTTTGTTGTGCCAATTTTTAGCTATCTTTACCAGCCCGATGATTGCTGAATGTACGTTGAGTGTTTTCTCTTCCAATCTTCGTATTTGAATTCGACGTGAATGAGAATCATGGTGTTTTTTGTGCTATCTCGTATGGTTGCTGAATGTACGTTGAATGTTTTCTCTTCCTCTTCCAATCTTCGTATTTGAATTGGATGTGCATGGGAATCATGGTGTTTTTGCAAGTTACTCGGAACGACATTTGTTGTGCCAATTTTTAACTAACTTCACCAGCGAGCTGATTGCTGAATGTACGTTGAATGTTTTCTCTTCCAATCTTCGTATTTGAATCGGACTTGCATGAGAATCATGGTGTTTTTGGTGCAATCTTCGTATTTCAACTGGACGTGCATGAGAATCATGGTGCCCATGGACACAGTTGTGAACATGTGTGCAATTGCCATTGAAGTTACGTCTTTGCCTTTGGGTTCACTGGCCTTTTGCATTGAACTTTATGCTCGTGCGATCTGTTAAGGGGATGTCTCTCTCTCTCTCTCTCTCTCTCTCTCTCTCTCTCTCTCTCTCTCTCTCTCTCTCTCTCTCTCTCTCTCTCTCTCTCTCTCGTTGTTCGTGGTGCGTCGATCGATCGATCAGTGACACCCATTCCAGCTACCACGCACACATTCGTTGTTCATCGATCGATCGATCACCCGTTCGTTGTTCATCAATCACATTCTTGTAGAGTGATTGCATCATTGTTCTTCGTTCGTTGTTCGTTGATCATTGGCGGTTCATTGATCGCACTGGGCCCGTTATTCAAAAAAAAAAAAAAAAAAAAAAGACACCTTCACCTGCTTTGCTGTACTGGGAGGCTGATGTTCTTCGTGCGATGTCCCCACGCACATACGTATTCGGCCGAACTGAAGCAGATCCAATAGCCGCTTAATGGATCAAGGTCGTTGTTGATGTCCCCTCGAGATTGTGACTCGGAGTTCGTCCATCTGTTTATTGATTGTCACATGTGGGCACTATTTCCCGTCTTCCCGCGAATAGAACGTACGGTCATTTTAGCTGTATTTAGACGAGTTTTTTTTTTTTTTTTTTTTTTTTTTTTTTTTTTTTTTTGGTTTGTTTTTTTTTTTGTAATATAAAACCCAACAGCGCACAGTGTGTCCTCACTAACGGTCTGTGCCAACGGGAGGGTCTGTTCCAGGCCCAAAGACTGGACCATTCGAAAAGGACAACTAGTTCGCATCATCCCTGTACCAGTTCTCGTTACTGCAAACGTGGTCTCGAAGAGCATCTCGCAACCGTCCCGCAGCAGCACTGTCACTGTTTGCACCTCCTGAGCGGTACGCAACAGCGGCAGGGCAATAGTGGACATTACCCCCACCTTGGTCACGCATGGCAAAAACACGGTCGACATCTTCGCCCATATCTATCAGTATGTTGTGCAAGATGCATACTGCTCTGAACTGTTGAGGGAGCGTTGCTATGCCATGTTTTCCTGGCCAATGAAAGTTCTGGAAACGGCCTTTCAGCACACCATTCCCTCGTTCACTATCAACGCGCACTATCTTCAGCCTCGCATCAAATGCAGCCGCACGCCGACAATTGCGACCCCATCTCCCGTACGGCGTGACCAGCCACGGGAGCGCAGGGTACCCTGCATCACCCAGCAAGTAACCGCCCGACACACCCTGCACATGCGATATGGCAGGATGTCGGGCTTCGTCCACAAACACGGACCCTGCTTGGGCACGGCGGAACATGCTTGAGTTCCGCAAGATCCTGGAATCGTGGACCGTACCAGGATAACCTACATTGAGGTCTAGGATGCGCAGCTCATGGTCGAAAACAATCTGAGCCACAATGGAGAAGCGTTTCGTCCTTCCGGAGCAAAAGTGGTCTCCATTACGCAATGGGGGTTTATCAATATAGATGTGTGTGCAGTCCACACACCCCCAGCAGTTGGGGAAACCCTTCTCAGCATACCAATCCATAGAACGCCTCCTATCATCGGCTGACCCAAACGTGGTCGCATTAGGAAAGACAACAATAAGAGCCGCAGTGACATCCTCCATTGCTCTCAGACCGCTGGTTTTCCCCATTCCGTACCCCCAACTGCTGTGTCTATGGCAGTCCCCACTCGCCCACCTGTGGATAGCGTAGGCAAGAATGTGTGCAGGATGAAGTGGTCTCCTAAACCTCGTCACCTGCCTCTCCAAGTACGGACGGAGAGCGTCCAACAAGCGGATGAAGGTGCTGCGCTTCATACGCAGCAATGTCAAGTAATAATCATCCTTCGCATCATCCTGAACAGTTAGATCTTCCTTAAATCGCGCAGCACGCCTCATAACCCACCACCGCGGAGACTCTCTTGGCAACAGGTCAGCGAGCTGTGCAAGCAATGCAAACATCACGATACGTGATGACGTGAACATGTTGGAGTCCATGTCCACTCTTCTTGTTGAAAGAGTGTGGAAGCCCCCCAACTGTAACGGACTGCTCATTAACTGTTCAACGCACCGCATGCTTTCCTCCATCATCTTCAGAGCCAGTAGAAGTATGAAAATCTCCAACTCCATCTCTCTCTCTCTCTCTCTCTCTCTCTCTCCCCGAAGGATGAAGGACGTGTGTGGTTGCGAGGAAGTGGCAAAGGCGTTGGTTAGTGTGTGTACCTGTCCGCACCTGCGACCCCGGGAAGCCGCAAGCGCACAGTGTCCGTCGACGCGAATGGACTCGAACTACCGCCCACGACATTGACAAGGCACGAAAATTTGGGGGGAACGTGTGCAGTGTCACTGAGCAGTAGAACCACCTGAACGCATGTAGTGCCGGCGTGGATGTTTCTGTACGGAATCCCGTCCAAAGAAAACGGGCTAGCCTCTACTAATGTCCACATGCACTAAGGTAGAAAATCTTGGTGATGTATATTTCCATATTCTAGCGCCATATGTTCTAGCGGAAGTTTCACACATAGATGGCACATTCCGAGAGTAGTGGTCCAGATTTCTGGAGGCCCTACAGTACTCACACTACGAGTATCTCAAATGTATCTGAAGGCATTCACAGCCATGCCTGGATGTATCTGGCCGCAATTCCATCCAAAAATATGTAAAAAAGTCGTAGTCTGAGTATGCCCTAAGACGTGCTGGCCAGATACAACCC